AGAGGAGAATGGAGGAGAAGGGATTGCGGCGTGACCATCCCCCCTGGGGGGTGATTTCTCGCTTTCTGTCTCTATGTCTCTCTCTGTCTGTCTGGCGAGCGCACGTGCCCTACAGTGAAAATCTCTCCAAAAAAAAAAGATTTTCCCCATAGGGTGTGTGTGCTCACCAGAGAGAGAGAGAGAGAGAAAATGAGAAATCATTTCCCGGGGGGATGGCCACATCGCAGTCCCTTCTCCAGTCCCCTGTGAGGACTTTGGGCACGCGTACACATAGCGGGCACATTTTTCAGATCGCCAGGTCTGGGACTCAAACCACAGAGTTGGCCATGTGGAATCGAACACCTTCACCACCATGCCACCTGCTAGCCCTAGACTGTGTATTCTGTACATTCCATTTCCTTTCTTTCCCATGATTACTGAGGCTGTTGGGGCCAGCAGGTGGCATAGTGGTTAAGGTGCTGGAGTCCTGCATGGCCAACTGCAGTTCAAGTCCCGGATCTGGCAACTTGCTTTCTCATACCCCACCCCCCCACACACTTTCTCTTTCTCTCTCTCTGGTGAGTGTGTATGCCCCATAGCAAATTCATAAGTAAATTAAATAATTATTTTTTAAAAAAATTATACAGCTAGTAAATGACAGAGCTTAGGTTCTGACCCAGGTGTCCGATTCAATGCCTGGGTTAGCGAAACACTCTCCTTTGAGGGACCAGCAGATAGTGTAATGGTTAGGTCACTGAACTCCCACGTAGTCGACCACGGTTCGAGTCTCGGACCCAGTGGCTTAATACTCAGCTGGGCACATGTGCGTGCGTGCCCAAGTCCCAAAAGGAGATAGGAGTAGAGGGGACGGCGGTGTGGCCAGCCCCGGGGGGCTGGGGGGTGGGGGCAGAGCTGTGGTTCATGGTGTGCAGGCCGGATGATGAAACCCCGATGGTGTTCTCAGCTTGGCCAGGTGTGAGAGGCTCTGAGTTCTGTTCCTCTGCACCCGCTGCAGATGTTTCCAAACTTCCAACCTGCCCCTTCAGTCCCTGACCCTCCTGCTTCCACTGTGCACCAGGTGCCCGGGAGACAGCGGGAGCCATAGACCGGGATGTTCCCCACCTTCATGCCAGGGACTTAAGTGCACGCGGGTCTGCAGCTACTCCTCGCGGCTGGGCTGTCCTGTTCCAGCAAAAGGTTCTGGTCCTGCCCGCGTTCCCAAGGCCGGGCCTGGTACACCTTCCCTTTCCCGCGTTTCCCTCCATTCCCTCTCGGTGGCTTCTTCCTGTTTGTGATTAGCAGCGCTCACGTCTGTCCACCTGTCCATCTGTTCAGCCAACTCCTTCCTCTGCTCCAGGAGCTCTCCCCTCTCGGCCAGACCGCGAGAAAGCATCGCGTTCTCTCTCCATCTCTGCGGCCTGCGCCTCCACAACGGGCCGTTCCCTGGATCTGTCCTTGCCCGGGTCACAGCCCCTGCGGACTCGCGGAAAGGGCCAGCGTCTGTACTTAGGCCTCGAGGGCCGCACTCTGCCTGCTGAGTAGTCTTCGCTGGTTTGTGTGTTTTGCTTATTTATTTATTTATTTTTAAAAAGAATTATTTTATTTATCTTTCTTTATTTTCCTATGACCAGAGAGGGCCAGAGTGAGGAGGTGGGGGAGTGAAAACCACAGTCAGCCATGTGGGAGTCCGGCACCCTTAACACCACACCACCTGCCGGCCCCCCCCTTTTTTTTTAAATTTCCTATAGGGCACATTTACTCACCAGAGACAGAGACAGAGACAGAAAGAGAGAGGGAACATGAGAAAGCACACTGCCAGGTTCGGGACTCGAACTGCAGCCGGCCACATGGCAGTCCAGTGTTTTAACTGCTGTGCTACCTGCTAGCCCCTTAAGTTTATTTATTGAGAAAAACAGAGAGAGAGACCCTGACAGCCTTGCCATGCCTCAGTCCTACAGCCAGCCAGGATAACGGGCACATACATGTTCAGGTCAACCTGGGATCCCAACCCTGGGCCTTCACGTGGCCCCAGTATCTCACAGTGACAGCCTACGGCCTGCACCACCATGGCTTGGCCTGACTGCATTCTTTATAGCAAAGGTCGGTCACTATGGCCTGTTTTTGTATGGCCAAAAGTCGCAGGTTAAAAACAAAGGAGGAGGGAACCAGCAGTTAGCGTAATGGCTATGTCGGTGGACTCCCACGTAGTCGACCGCGGTTCGTGTCCTGGACCCGGTGACTTAAAACTCACGCCGGGCGCGTGTGCGTGCGTGCCCAAGATCCCGAGAGGAGAATGGAGGAGAAGGGATTGCGGCGTGACCATCCCCCCTGGGGGGTGATTTCTCGCTTTCTGTCTCTATGTCTCTCTCTGTCTGTCTGGCGAGCGCACGCGCCCTACAGTGAAAATCTCTCCAAAAAAAAGAGGAGGGGCCAGCAGGTGGCATGGTGGTTAAGGCGCTGGACTCCCATATGGCCGACCACAGTTCAAGACCCAGACCCAGTGGCCTGAAAAACACACTAGGGGTGTGTGTG